TTTGAAATTGACTGTTTCCAATAGGAAAAAATACGTCAGTCACAGAAGAAAAAGATACTTCACCCCAATAAGGAAAAAATCCTGAGTCACTGAGGACCATTATTTCCAATCGGAAAAAAATCTCGAGGCAATGTGGATGATTTTTTCCGTTAGGAAAAATACTTTAGTCACAGAGGAAAAAATAATTTACTCCAATAGGAAAAATGCCTCAGTCACTGAGGATAATTTTATCGAATAGGAAAACATTTTTAAGTTACTGAGGATGATGTTTTCCAATAGGACAAACTACCTCAATCGGAGAAGGTAACTTTTTTTTACAAGAAAAATTCCTGAGTGGATGATTATTTCTAACAGGAAAAAATTCCATAGCCACGAAGGTAAATTTTTCCTATAGGAAAAAAAATTCCAGTGAGGATGACGTTTTCATATAGGAAATAAATCCACAGTTACTGAAAATGACTTTTTCTTATAGCGAAAAATCCATAAGTTACTTAGAATAACGTTTTCCAATAGGAAACAAATTGTTCAGTCACTGAGGAAAACTTTTTCCAAGAGGAAAAAAATTCTCAGTCACTGTGCCCTATAGGAAAAAATCCTTCTGAGAGTTTCCAATAGGATAAAATCCTCAGTCATGGAAGATTACTTTTTTCTATACGAAAAAATTCCAAAGCCAATGATTATGACGTTTTCCAATAAGAATGAATTCCTCAGTCAAAGAGGGTGATTTTCTCCAATAGGAAAAAATCCTCACTCATTGAATCTGACTTTTTCCTATTGTAAAAATTCCTCAGTCACGCATGATGGTTTTTTTCCAATAGGAAAACATTTTCAGTCACTGAGGATGTTTTTTCCAAAAAGAAAATTTTAATTTTTGCAATAAGAAAAAAAATTCATTTTCCAATAGGAAAAAAAGTTAATTTTTCCAATAGGAAAAAAGTTAAATTAGAAGCTAAAAGTTAAATTAGAAGCTATCAAGAATAAAGTTACAACTTGGAAATACTTTGAATAGTGGAAGGAGATTTTTATTTTAACAAAAGTATTTCGAATTTGATTTTAGAATACGCTGACCACAACTGTCGTTGGCTTCTTGGTTTGGCAAATATAAAATGCGTTCATTCTGCAATTCCAGTCATTCATTTGGTATTTAGGTTCCTTGTACTTCAAATGAACACAATGCTCATTGCCACCGGCATTATCAGGTTGTACACCCGCCCAGTCAGCATATAACATACGTTCGCCAGTTCCGTACCAATAAAAATCGCCTTCAGAGTGTAGATCAGATCCTGATAACCACCACCATCTATCCTTGGGATAATTTGATTTTAAATGTTCTGAAAGTTCCTCGATTTCCTCTGGACTGTCGAATGAGGCTAATACGCCACCCATTGACTGACAGATCAAATTAGCTTTAAACCATGATACCTGTAAAACGTACAAAATTGATTACCCACTCTGGTCATGTTCAATCCGAATGTTTAATGTGTACCTTTGATTGGCCGAAATGATATAGTTTTTTACCAACGCGGACGAATGGATCTGTTTCGAAGTCATCAGGGTAACCTTAAGGAGGAGGACAAATCATTTGAACTTTCTACGATTTACGACGAAAATGTTGCTTAATCTTACCGTCTAAAAGGGTTGCTGATAATTTTCGTTCCCGTAATCCCATTACAACCGGGCAGGCCAAACACAAAAAAAGGAACGTCAGTAAGGCGACGTTCTTAGTATGAGCTACAGTTGCCATGTTATCTTGTCAATGATCAAAACACAACTGACCCTTTACCGAACTCTTGCTATTTAATTAAGAACGACGAGAAATGTCGAGTCTGACTGATTTTGTCATCAACGATTTGGAAGACAGTTTATTTGAAATCGTTGGCTTTTGTCTATTAACATAAACTCGGAATTATTATTAGTCATTCTTCGTTAATCGTGTAATGTTCCCGATCTTCCCAGTATAGCATCAAATTAAACTGCACCACTTTTTCCAACAACAGATGATGGTAAATCAATAAAACGGGTTGATAGTTTAAATGTGTTGCAACAACAAAGAAAACATTAATAACAACAATAATTTCTGACATACTGCTGCTATTTATATACGTAGTTGTTGTTGTAGTCGCCCTATTGTTTTTTTCCAAAGTGGGCGGAGGTGGCAGACGTCTGCCGAGAAAGACTCGGGTCGTAGAAGCATTTTATATACGTAGGTTTTGTTGTTGTTCTTTGTATCATAAATGCCCATCAGTTCCCTAAAACGAAAACTTTAGAAAATATGAATTAATAATAATTTACCATACGAATTGGCCTTAATAATGTGGAAAGTCTAACAACGCTAATCGTTATTATTCGTGAAAGATATTATAAACATAGAAAGTTAGGACTTTGAATACAATTATTTAACAATACAATAATTTTCATGCAAGCACTCCCACACCCTTTCCCTTAAACACAGATCCACCCATTTGTTCGTCCATTTGTTAATAGTACAACAATCGGGAGGTATATTTTTTCAAATATTTTAACCCTCAATCCAAACATTTTAAGACTTTTCCAGGAATGATTGAAAACTTATTTTAAACAAGGTAATATCTGGTCAGAATAAACATCAAACAAGTGAAAAAGCGTTAAGTTCGGCCGGGCCGAACTTTGGATACCCTCCACCATAGATATACTGACAGGTACTAGAATTGAAAATATAGGAAATATACAAAAACGTGGACCTATACCGACATGTCTAAGAACGGATTATGTAAACAATAATACAAATTTCAGAAATTTTTAATTGATAATTCAAATTCGAAGATGGGGAATATCGGTCCACTCTTTCTGAAACCTCCACACAGGAACTAGGTCTAAATGCGGTTCAGTTCATTATCGAAGCTTAAGTTCTAATTTTTTATCTCGCTATCCTCCGCAGGTGAAATTATTACAACAGAGTCTTAGAACCAAACTCAAAACGCGGAACAACTCAGATAACTATTTTAATATAAAAAAGGGGGTTATATGGGAACTAACCTAAAAAGGGGGCGAATATTAATAATTTTTGTAATCATTTCACCTACGGAGGATAGCGAGATAAAAAATTAGAACTTAAGGTTCGATAATGAACTATAGCCGCATTTAGACCTAGTCCCTGTGTGGAGGTTTCAGAAGGAGTGGACCGATATTCCCCATTTTCGAATTTGAATTATCAATTAAAAATTTCTGAAATTTGTATTATTGTTTACATAATCCGTTCTTAGACATGTCGGTATAGGTCCACGTTTTTGTATATTCCCTATATTTTCAATTCTAGTACCTGTCAGTATATCTATGGTGGAGGGTATCCAAAGTTCGGCCCAGCCGAACTTAACGCTTTTTCATTAAACTCCTAAATCAGACTAATCAGTATTATTCTACATCACATTTCTTATATTTTAGGCGAAAATACGAGAAAATTGATACAAACTCGGGAAGAGATCGATCTTCAACTTGTTTGATGTATGAAATTAAATTTTCAAAGTCCTAACTTTCTATGTTTATAATATCTTTAATGAATAATAACGATTAGCGTTGTTATACTTTCCACATTATTAACGCCAATTCGTATGGTAAATTATTATTAATTCATATTTTCTAAAGTTTTAGAACTGATGGGCATTTATAATACAAAGAACAACAACAAAACCGACGTATATAAAACGCTTCTACGACCCGAGTCTTTCTCGGCAGACGTCTGCCACCTCCGCCCATTTTGGAAAAAAACAATAGGGCGGCTACAACAACAACTACGTATATAAAATTGGTATGTAAATTTATTTTCAGTATACAGTAAATAGCAGCAGTAGGTCAGAAATTATTGTTGTTATTAATGTTTTCTTTGTTGTTGCAACACATTTAAACTATCAACCCGTTTTATTGATTTACCATCATCTGTTGTTGGAAAAAGTGATGCAGTTTAATTTGATGCTATACTGGGAAGATCGTGAACATTACACGATTAAAGAAGAATGACAAAAAATAATTAGAATAAAAAAAATAATTCAGAGTTGATGTTGTTGTTGCAACACATTTAAACCAGTTTTATTGGCTTACCATCATCTGTTAGAAAAGGTGGTGCTGTTTAATTTGATGCTATACTGGGAAGATCGAGAACGATACACGATTACAAAAGAAAGACAAGAAATAATTTGAATAAAAAAAATAATTCCGAGTTTATGTTAATAGACAAAAGCCAACGATTTCAAAATAAACTGTCTTCCAAATCGTTGATGTCAAAATCTGTCAGACTCGACATTTCTCGTCGTTCTTAATTAAATAGCAAGAGTTCGGTAAAGGGTCAGTTGTGTTTTGATCATTGACAAGATAACATGGCAACTGTAGCTCATACTAAGAACGTCGCCTTACTGACGTTCCTTTTTTTGTGTTTGGCCTGCCCGGTTGTAATGGGATTACGGGAACGAAAATTATCAGCAACCCTTTTAGACGGTAAGATTAAGCAACATTTTCGTCCAGATCGTAGAAAGTTCAAATGATTTGTCCTCCTCCTTAAGGTTATCCTGATGACTTCGAAACAGATCCATTCATCCGTGTTGGTAAAAAACTATATCATTTCGGCCAATCACAGGTACACATTAAACATTCGGATTGAACATGACCAGAGTGGGTAATCAATTTTGTACGTTTTACAGGTATCATGGTTCAAAGCTAATTTGATCTGTCAGTCAATGGGTGGCGTCTTAGCCTCATTCGACAATCCAGAGGAAATCGAGGAACTTTCAGAACATTTAAAATCAAATTATCCCAATGATAGATGGTGGTGGTTATCAGGATCTGATTTACACTCTGAAGGCGATTTTTATTGGTACGGAACTGGCGAACGTATGTTATATGCTGACTGGGCGGGTGTACAACCTGATAATGCCGGTGGCAATGAGCATTGTGTCCATTTGTGGTACAAGGAACCTAAATACCAAATGAATGACTGGAAGTGCAGAATGAACGCATTTTATATCTGCCAAACCAAGAAGCCAACGACAGTTGTGGTCAGCGTATTCTAAAATCAAATTCGAAATACTTTTGTTGAAATAAAAATCTCCTTCCACTATTCAAAGTATTTCCAAGTTGTAACTTTATTCTTGATAGCTTCTAAAGCGTATGTTCTGGTTTTACTTTTCATTGCAAAAGCTTTGCTCATTAAGATCGACTCAGTTGTGTGGTGATCATTGACAAGACAATATGGCAACAGAAGCTCATTCGAAGAACGTCGCCTTAATGGCGTTCCTCCTTTTGTGTCTGACCAGTCCGGATGTAATGGGATCACGAGAACGAAAATTATCAGCAACCATTTCAGAGGGTAAGATTAAACAACATTTTCGTCCAGATCGTAGAAAGTTCAAGTGATTTGTACCCCTCCTTAAGGTTATCCTGATGACTTCAAATTAGATCCATTCATCCGCGTTGGTAAAAAACTATATCATTTCGGCCAATCAAAGGTACACATTAAAAATTCGGATTGAACATGACCAGAGTGGCTAATCAATTTTGTACGTTTTACAGGTATCATGGTTCAAAGCTAATTTGATATGTCGGTCTATGGGTGGCGACTTAGCCTCATTCGACAGTGCACAGGAAATCAGGGAACTTTCAGATCATTTAAAATCAAATATCCCAGGGATAAATGGTGTTGGTTATCAGGATCTGATTTACACTGTGAAGGCGATTTTTATACCCTTCACCACACTGTAGTACAGGGTATTATGTCTTTGTGCATTTGTTTGTAACAGGCAAAAATAATCGAGATAGACTCATGGTTCCTTTTGAGAATATGCATAGAATCACATTCTGAGTCGATTTATGCATGTCCGTCCGTCTGTCCATGTTAAATTGTAAACAAAGTACAGGTTGCATTTATGATCCGAATTGGATGAAATTTGGCACAGTTCATTTGTTTGGCCCAAGGACGAACCCTATTGAAATTGGGAAAAATCGGTTCAGATTTAGATATAGCTCCCATATATATTTTCGTCCGATTTTAGGTAAATGGTGCATCAAAGTCCCTATATATCTTTTGATTTGCACGAAATTTGGCACAGCGTACTAAATTAAGTCTAGACTGATGTGCGCAAAGTTTCGAGAAAATCGGTTCAGATTTAGATATAACTCCCATATATATCTTCGTCCGATTTAAGGTAAATTGTGTACCAAAGTCCCTATATATCTTTCGATTTGCACGAAATTTGGCACAGCGTACTAAATTAAGTCTAGAATGATGTGGGCAAAGTTTCGTGAAAATCGGTTCAGATTTAGATATAGATTCCATATATAGGCACGTCCGATTTTATGTAAGTAGTCCACTAACGTCCCTGGAAATCTTTTGATTTGGACAAATTTTGGATAGCATACTGAATAAAGCCTAGAATGGATGTGTGCAAAGTTTCGGGAAAATCGGTTCAGATTTAGATATAGCTCCCATATATATATATATATATATATATATATTTACAGAATTAGTACTTATTTCCAAAAATTAAGCAACATACTACTAAAAAGTACTAAAAACTGAATTGCGCGGGAATGGTTGGATGTAGAACTTTGAAATTTGGTATGTTGCTTTGCCTACGATGAAAAAAAAATTGGGAATTTAGTACTAAGAGGTACTAAAAAGTACTAAATATTACATTTGAATGGAATCGGTAGAGATACATATCTGTACGTAGCTTAAGCTATTAAAACAATAACGACGTACAAAAATATTTGTTGGAAATTAGTACTAAAATGGTACTAAAAAGTACTAAAACTAATTACGCTGGAACGGTTGGAAGTAGAACTCTGAAATTTGGTATATAGCTTTGTCAATAATAATTCAAAAGGAATGTGTGAAAAAAAATTGGAATTTAGTACTAAGAGGTACTAAAAAGTACAAAATATTTTATTTGAATAGAATCAGTAGAGATACTTATCTGAAAATTGGTATGTAGCTTAAGCTATTACAAATAGAATGTTGTGCAAAAAATCTTTTGGAAATTGGTACTAAAATGTTAATAAAAATATACTAAAAAGTACTAAAACTATATTACACCGGAACGTTTGGATTCAGAACTCTTAAATTTGTTATGCAGCTTTGTCAATTATAGGCAAAGGGGAATGTGTGAACAAATTTTGGAAATTAGTACTTAAGGTACTAAAAAGTACTAAATATTATATTACAATGGAACAGGTACGGGTTGATATCAGAAACATGGTATTTAAGCTTTTACAAATAGCTTTTACTATCACAAATGTGTACTAAAGTGGTGATAAAAAGTACTAAATAAAAATTACAATGGAATCGTTAGAAATAGTAATCTGAAACGTGGTACATTGATTTAACTATTACAAATACTTCGCTATGCACATTTTTTTTTTGAAATTAGTACTAAACTGCCACTAAATATTAAATGACAACTGAAACTAATTTTTTTTCATCGTAGGCAAAGCAACATACCAAATTTCAAAGTTCTACATCCAACCATTCCCGCGCAATTCAGTTTTTAGTACTTTTTAGTACCTTTTAGTACGAATTTCCAAAAACCCCGCCTCTAACTCAACCTACATGCCAAATTTTAAGTTTCTAGCTTTAGCCGTTTCGTCTGGGCGTTGATGATCAGTCAGTCACTTATAACGCAACTTTTTTATATATATATAGATTAATAATTAAATTCTAGTGCTCTGCTAATGACGATATAAACCCCATGTTATATCCTCCCTCATAGGGATCATATCTCCCTTATAAACTATTTTTTTTTTCAAAATTATATCATATCACAACATTACAGCACATATTTTTTTTGTTTACAATAATTCTTCTGTTAGTTATTAATTATCTTTTGTTATTGTTGTTGTTGTTTTCTGGCTTTTCGACATTTCAAGAGCACCCACTTATTTTTGATATTGAGATATTTTGTTTTTGGTCGTTTTTTATTGTTTATTTTATGAAAAGGCTTTGGTTTTATTTTACCTGGGCACCCGATAAGATATGAAGATAAGTGTCGCGTCACTTATAACGAATCAATCGCTTGGGTGTCATAACGCATTAATGCGTTCAGTCACCATTGAAAAACGGTGTCAGTTGTGATTTGATTTTCATCGGACCGGTGTGAATTACATTTAGCTTTTTTTTGGCGAAATCTACAAAATCGATTTACCGACAAACAAAGAAATTATGATAAATAATCCAAAAATACAAATGACAATATCGAGTGTCATAATAATAGCAATTGTGTGTGTATTTCAACAATGTCAAGGAAGTAAGTTAATTTAATTGAAAAATGTAAATCGAAGTGTTAACAAAGTGTTGAGATGTAAATGTGTTGTAATGAAGAGTGGAGAGATTATGTTTTATAATTGCTTTGTAACAGAGTGCTTGATACAGTTTGTTTGTTTCCCACCTGTGGGAGAGATAGAGCCAAGCATATGGTTTGTTTACTTTTGTTGTAATAATCTATCTCTCTGGGGGTATGCTCTCACAATCTCTCTCTATAGTTTCTTTAGTTTGTTGTTTTTGTTTAGTGTTTTTCGTTTACAGTTGTGTAGTGTGATAACGCTTTGTTTTTTAAAAACGTTAGTGTGAAGAGAGCATCCTCGTGGCTTTGTTTACTTATGTTCAACCTCTCAATAGTTTGCTTTGATTGTTGTTTTTGTTTCGAGTTACTATTGCACTGTTATACAAAGAGAGAGATTATGTTTCGATTATTAAGAGTAGAGAAGAGATCATCTTTAGCGGTTTGTTTACATATTCTTTTGTTGATATATTCATGTGTGTGTTAATCTCAATAGTTTTTGTTTGTATTCTCTGTTATAGAGGTAATGTTGTTTCTTTTTTTTGTGCAAGCCCTATCATTTCCATTATGCATAAGCATGCTTTGCGCATGAGTAATAATGTTTATGATTTTGATAACTTTTTTTATTGCTTATACGCCCCTATGTATAATACCCCCATTGACTTTAATAAACAAAATGTGTGAGGCATAAAAATCATAGCAGTTTGCAATTTTTGCCAATCTCGGTGTTTATCATAAAAGAAACCGATTATTGTTTGCTTTCTTATTTTAGGTTTAAATCAAAACAATCATGATTTTAAATTTGATTTTTTTAAAAAATTCGATAAGGTTCTGACTAAAAATAGTTTTATTGTGGAAGAAATAAAAGAAATAAAAAACATTGCATAGTATTTAAAACCAAAAAAAAAAAAAAATAAAAACTCCACTCCTATTGATGGTCTTTGAAAAAAAATACTTTTAACCAGTAAGGAAAGTAGTAAAGTCGGACTGGGCCGACTATATGATACCCTTCACCACTTTGGGTATATTCAACAGATGGATCCTAACAGACGTCGCGCCTTTTCGAAGGAACATTGAGATGAAATTGAATGAACTTAAATCTAAATCTAACCCGATTTTCTCGAAACTTGACACACATCATTGTAGACATAATTCAGTATATTGTGCAAAATTTCGTACAAATCGAAGGATATATAGGGACTTTGGTGCACTATTTACATTAAATCGGACGAAAATATTTATGGGACCTATATCTAAATCTCAGCAGATTTTCTCGAAACTTAACACACATCATTCTAGACTTCGTTCGGTACGATATGCCAAATTTCGTCCAAATCGAAAGATATATAGGGACTTTGGAGCCACATTTACATAAAATCGGACGAAAATATATATGGGACCTATATCTAAATCTGAACCGATTTTCTAGAAACTTGACACACATCATTCGAGCCTCAATCCAGTACACTATGCAAAATTTCACGCAAATCGAAAGATATATATGGACTTTGGTACCCCATCTACATTAAATCGGACGAAAATATATATGGGACCTATATCTAAATCTCAGCCGATTATCTCGAAACTTGACACACATCATTCTAGACATAATTCAGTATACTATACAAAATTTCGTACAAATCGAAAAATATATAGGGCCCCATTTAGATTAAATCGGATGAAAATATATGGGTCTATATCTAAATCTGAACCGATTTTCACGAAACTTAGCACACATCATTCTGGACCCAATTCAGAACTCTATGCCAAATTTCATGCAAATCGAAAGATATATAGGGACTTTGTTGACACATTTACCTTAAATCGGACGAAACTATATACGAGAGCTATATTTAAATCTGAACCGAGTTTCTTTAATTTCAATTTAATTTCATTGGGCCAAAAAAAGGGAGCTACGCCAAATTTCATCCAAATCGGATTAAAACTGCAACCTGTACTGTACAGACGGACGCCATTTAATGGTCGCTGAAAAAATATTTAAAAACCAGTGAGCGGAGCAGTATAGTCGGACGGGGCCGACCATATGATACCCTACTACCACGAAAATCAAACTCTCTGCGGTTCTATATTCTGAGCCTGGGCAATATTTCGAGATATTTGCAATCTTTTTACCGATTATAGGTCAACAACTTCACTTTCTAACCCTGGCATATTTTCCAATTTTTTTTCTTGAAGTGAATTTTTACGCCCTAAAAATAAAAAATGGTCACTTTAGGTTTTGGGTGATTTGACCCTTGGAATATTGATCGATCGTCTTCGAAACAGCCGCTCTAAGAATTTGGTCAGATCCCCTTCACCTTGTAAAATAGGTGATGTTCTGCATATAACAATTGCCTCTAGAGCGACTAGAAAATCTGACAGAATTAAAGTTTTCGGTTCATTGCACCTCCTGAATGAAATCTCAACTTCACCGAAAACTATGTCGTCCTTGACCATAATCGGAAGTTCATGTACAATTTCAAAGCTATCAGCGCGACATTTCCATCCTCTAATGGAGTAATAGTAATACTATGCACATCGTCACCTTTACCTAATTAAGTATAACTCCCACATCAGAGTACATGCAGCCATAAGTTTGGTATCAATTTGAAGGTCAACAACTCCTCTGGGATATACTATAAACTTCTCGGGTATATGTCCTTCAGGAGCAAGTATATACGCCCCAGAATAAAAATTTTGTAATTTTTTACACAAAAGTCAGGGTCCATTTGACCCGCTAAATATTGACCGATCTTCGGCACGATCCTCTTCTCCATGTAAAATTTCACGATGTTCGGACCATAACTGCGGCCTCTGGAGATACCAGAAAAACCGACAAAAATTAAGTATTTGGTCCATTTCATCCCTTAAATATTAACCAATCTTTACCAAAAATAGGGGTCTTCATTGGGCCGAACCTATCCTCCATGCAAAATTTGGTGAAGATTGGATGGACACACATGTCTAGATCGACTCAGCTAGTCGAGATATGACGATCGGTATACTTAAAGGTGGGTCTAGGACCAATATTTCGCGGCGTTACAAACTCTTGGGACTGCACAAAGCTATAATACCTTGACAACATAGTTGTGTAGTACATATTAACAAAACTATTCAACAATGTAACTAAAAAAGGCTGCAATTTTCCTAGACAACTACAACAAAATCGGGGAATTAATGTCAAGCATCCTTAAAAATAGTTCACTTTCATATTATCAAGCGATCGCTGATTAACCATCAGCGATAACGAATTGATAATGATTTGATGATTTTTATAACGTAATTTTATGACGCCAAAAACAATTCAATTAATATGAAAACAAAGAATAGCACCATCGGAATCTGATTCACACGAGTTCTAACTTCCTGCATAGTCATTATTATTTTTTATTGGAAACTGTTGGAAACACCTTAACGTTTACTACACGCTTATAAACAAATTATAAAATAAAATATTTATTTTTAGCAAACAAAATTATTGTTTAACTATTTATAGAATATTTATAGCAGGCTAATAAAAATAAAATTGTAGATTTTTGGGCATAATCAATATGTTCGGGAAAGTTCAGAATAATAAGCAAAGGGAAGCATAGAAGTGATTTTTTTAAAAATATTTTTTGAAGGAGTTTTTTAAAATATGTTTTCAGAGACCATCAATAGGCATGGATTTTTTTTCCCTTCACCACACTGTGGTATAGGATATTATGTGTTTGTGCATATGTTTGTAGCAGACTAAAGGAAACGAGATAGACACATGGTTCCTTTTGAGAATATGCATAGAAACAATTTCTGAGTCGATTTTGCATGTGTGTCTGTCCGTCCATGTATTTTTGTGAACAAAGTACAGGTCGCATTTATGATCCCATTTGGATGAAATTTGGCATAGGTCACTTATTTGCTCCAAGGACAAACCCTATTGAAATTGGGAAAAATCGGTTCAGATTTAGATATAGCTCTCATATATATTTTCTTCCGATTTAATGTAAATGGTGCACCAAAGTCCCTTAATATCTTTTGGTTTCCACCAAATTTGGCACAGCGTAATGAATTAGGTCTAAAATGATGTGTATTAAGTTTCGTGAAAATCGGTTCAGATTTAGATATAGCTCTCATATATATTTTCGTCCGATTTAATGTAAATGGTGCCCCAAAGTCCCTATATATCTTTCGATTCGCATGAAATTTGGCATAGCGTATTAAATTATATCCAGAATAATGTGTGTTAACTTTCCTAAAAATCGGTTCAGATTTAGATATAGTTCCCATATATATTTTCGTCCGATTTAATGTAAATGGTCCACCAAAGTCCCTATATATCTTACGATTAGCATGAAATTTGGCACAGCGTATTAAATTATATCCAGAATAATGTATGTTAAATTTCTTGAAAATCGGTTCCGATTTAGATATAGCTCTCATATATATTTTTGTTCGATTTAATGTAAATAGTGCACCAAAGCCCCTATATATCTTACGATTAGCACGAAATTTGGCATAGAGTATTAAATTATATCCACAATAATGTGTGTTAAGTTTCGAAAAAATCGGTTCAGATTTAAATATAGCTCCTATATATATTTTTGTCCGATTTAAGGTAAATGGCGTACCAAAGTCCCTATGTATCTTTCGATTTTCACGAAATTTGACAATGAGGTCTATAATGATGTGTGTTAAGTCTCCTGAAAATCGGTTCAGATTTAGATATAGCTTCTATATCTGACCAAATGAAGAATTTAGTATCTGTTGCAGAATGACATGTTTATGGATCCAATTTTATTTTACTGGTCCTTTAAAAATGCGACGTCTATTGAATATACCCGAAGTGGTGAAGGGTATCATAAAGTCTGCCCCGTCCGACTTTACTACTTCCCTTACTGGTTTAAAAATTTTTTTTCAAAAACCGCCAATAGGTGTGTAGATTTTAAAAATATTTTTTTTTTTTTCAATTTTTTTTAAAAAAAAATGTAAGGTCTACCAATAGGCGTGGATTTTGAAAAATATTTTTTCAAGAACCACCAATAGGCGTGGATTTTTAAACCTATTATTTTTTATTTATTTATAGGCACTTTACCTCCTGATGCATCTTTTAGGGATGCAATTCCTTCAAAGGAATCCAAAATCATTGGTGGTTCTCAAATTTCAATTAATGATGCCAAATATCAGGTTTCCCTGCGTTTGGTGGCAAATGAAAATGCTCGCGGTTTTGGCTACGGGCACATCTGTGGCGGTTCGATTATATCACAAAGAGTTATACTGACAGCTGCCCATTGCTTGATAAAGTAAGTTGTAGGGAATTTCTCAAACAGAAAAAATTATCTAAATTAATAAACAATTAATTTTCTTGCAGCTACAACACCGATCCCGAAACTGAACGTAGAGCTGGAGAATTTAAAGTTGTTGTGGGCTCCACACAATTATATGTCAAAGAACCTAATGTCCTGGAATATTATGTTCAGGAGATGGTTAAGCATGCCGGTTTTGATCCGATAAGTATGATCAATGATATCGCATTGGTAATGATCAATGGTTATATACCATGGAATTGGCCAACGGCAAGGGCAATACATTTAAATGATATCGAATTGAATATGGGTGCACCGTGTAATGTCAGTGGTTGGGGTAAAACTGAGAGGGTAAGTGAAAGGAAAATATTTTTGAAAAGAAATTAAAAATAATTCAAATTTTAAATTGTTTTCTAGGGCCTTATACCCAATAATTTGATGTCGACGGTAGTTCGAAGCATATCCTACAATGATTGCGAGGCTTCCTATGGTCATATACCACTGAGCATGATTTGTGCTGGTGATTATTATGTGGGAGGTGTTGATGCCTGTCAGGGTGATTCTGGTGGGCCCATGGTCTGTGCCAATAGTCAAGTTGGTATTGTGTCATGGGGTATTGGTTGCGGTCAAGCTCTCAAACCTGGTGTTTATACAAATGTTTCGGCATATTACAATTGGGTCGTCACGAATAATAAAACTTTCGATTATAATGTTTATAGAAATACTGCTGGGAATTTGAAAAATTTTTCATATATTTCAATTGTAATCATTTTAAGTTTTTTATTTGTTGTTAAATTTTGGTAGATTTTTTGTGGGGGGGGGGGAATTTAACAAATGAACTTATTTTGTAAATTTTATATTAAGAATTAATTTAATTAATCATGAATTGGCATTTTGTTTCATTCCACACGGAATGCCTCATTGGACATTGAGAATTAGGCTTAAATATTGTATTTATATGAATATACATATGTGATAAAATCTAAAATTGTATATATGTATGTAAATTTATTAGAGAAAATATGAATCAATTTTAATAAATAGATATGATATGCATTTAATAATAACATATTTTCAAGAGTTATCATTAAGCGTGGATATTTTAAAAATATGTTCTTAAGGGTCAACAAAAGGGTAATTAAAAAAAATATTTTTTCAGGATCCCCATATGTGCCCGCAACTTCCTTAGCGAATGTAGGAAATATTAATATTATTTTATTTTCACAGCAAACTGCATATGTCAGAAAAAACTATCCACACGTTAATATCGACCATAAATTAAATTTGAGTACCACCATTTAGTACCAAATTTCATGATTCGAGCTCTAAAGGTTCACCCAAATCCAAATTTTCCATTTTGCACACATTATTTCGATAAGTATCCTCTTCAAACATCCAACAAAATTCATGCATACCCCGATCCTACCACAATGAATCCAAATTAAAATTTCAGGATTCTAACTCTATCAGTTCACCCACAAATCAAATTGTACCAAATTTAGTACACATTAGTAAGAATTTCCAAAACTTCCTACTTACCCAAACCAACACCCCCACAGTGATCCTAAATCTAAGTTTAAGGATTCAAACTCTATCAGTTCACCCACAATTCAAATCGTACCAAATTTAGTACACAGTGGTATGAATTTCCAAAACCTCCTTCCTACCCCAAACCTACACTCCCACAATGATCCTTAATCCTAGTTTCAGGATTCCAACTCTATCAGTTCACCCACCATTTAAATTGTAAAAAATTTAGTACACAGTACTACGAATTTCCAAAACTTTCTACTTAACCCAAACCAACAACCCCACAGTGATCCTAAATCTAAGTTTTAGGATTCAAACTCTTTCAGTTCATCCACATTTTAAATTGTACCAAATTTAGTACACAGTATTACGAATTTCCAAAACTTCCTACTTAACCCAAACCAACACCCCCACAGTGATCCTAAATCCACGTTTCAGGATTCCAACACTATCGGTTCACCCACAATTCAAATTGTACCAAATTTAGTACACAGTAGTACTAATTTCCAAAACCTTCTTCCTACCCCAAACCTACACTCCTACAGTCATCGTAAAACCAATTTTCAGGATTCCAACTCTATTGGTTCACCCACAATTTAAATTGTACCAAATTTAGTACACAGTAGTACTTATTTCCAAAACCTCCTTCCTACCCCTACACTCATACAGTGATCCTAAATCTAAGTTTCAGGATTCAAACTCTATCAGTTCACCCACAATTCAAATTGTACGAAATACCCCTACATACCCCAATCCTACACCTCCACAGTGATCCTAAATCAAAATTTCATGTTTTCAACTCTATCTCTTCACCCACAATTTAAATTGTACCAAATTTAGTACACATTAGTACAAATTTCTGAAACTTCCTACATATATCAATCTTACATATCACAGTGATCCTGACTACAAATTTCATGATTCTAGCTCTATTGGTTCACCCACAATTCAAATTGTACCAAATTTAGTACACAGTGGTACGAATTTCCAAAACTTCCTACATACCCCAATCCTACACCCCACAGTCATCGTAAATCCAAGTTTCAGGATTTCAACTTTATCGGTTGACACACAATTCAAATTGTACCAAATTTAGTACACAGTAGTATGAATTTCCAAAACTTCCTACTTAACCCAAACCAACACCCCCACAGTGAACTAAATCTATGTTTCAGGACTCCAACACTATCGGTTCACCCTCAATTCAAATTGTATTAAATTTAATACGAATTTCCAAAACATCCTACTTAACCCAAACCAACACCCCCACTGTGATCCTAAATCAAAATTTCATGTTTTCAAATTGTACCAAATTTAGTATACATTAGTACAAATTTCTGAAACTTCCTACATATTTCAATCTTACACATCCACAGTGATCCTGACTACAAATTTCATGATTTTAGCTCTATTCGATCGCCTAAAATTCAAATTGTACCAAATTTAGTACCATTTAGTACCCATAAGTATTAATTTGTTAAACTGAATCCTGAGCCTAATCCTACATCTCTACAATGAACCTAACTCCAAATTTCATTGTTCCAGCTCTATCGGTTCACCTAAATCCAAGTTGTATTAATTGTAGTACGATTTAGTACTTTTCGTACACATAAGTAAAAGATTTTTAAAACTACGTAAATATCCCAATCCTTCACTCTGACGGTAATGTACTTTCAATTTTCAGGATTTCAGCTCGATTTGTACCTCCAAATCAAATTTGTACCAAATATAGTACCATATAGTACTTTTCGTACACATGAGTACACGCTTTTCAAACTCTCCTCATATCGACCCTACATCTCAACTCTAATTTGCATTCCAAATTTCAAGTTTTTAGTTCAATCCATTCACATGCTACGAAATTGTACCAAATTTAGTACATTTCAGTACTTTTCGGATACTTATAGTTCGCATTGCTATGTCTTTTCTAAACTCTATCAGTGACCCTCAATCCAAATTTCAGAGTTCTAGCCTTACTGGTATGCCAAATACAAATGATACCATATTTAGTACTTTTCGTACCGTTCTAGTACGAATTTCCAAAAACTCAGCCTTATCTGACACCTTTGGACCTAGAGTGACCCTCAACTAGCTTCAGATTCAAGATTCTAGCTTCAGCCGTTTCTTCTGGGTTTTGATGAATCAGTCATTATAATTTGTGAACACGATACATGCCACAGTTATGGACCAATCTTCACAAAATTTTGCATGTAGGATGGGTTCTGGCCAATGAAGACCCCTATTGTTTTTGGTAAAGATCGGTTAATATTTAGGGCATGAAATGGACCAAATACTAAATTTTTGTCGGTTTTTCTGGTAGCTGGTGTATATCGAGATTAGTACAATTTGGCTAGAAGAATGCATGCCCAATGATTGGAACCTCAACATCCTGTGTCCCGTGCACAAAAAAGGAGACAAGACGATATGTGCGAACTATAGAGGAAGAAGTCTCCTTCCCATCGCATATAAAGTGCTATCCAGCGTACTGTGTGAACTACTGAAGCCAATGGTCAATGACATTATTGGACCATACCAATGCAGCTTCAGACCTGGCAAATTCACCTACCCGTTCAGAGGTGTTTAAAGTCATGTCTGCATTTGACATTCCTGCAAACTTAATTCGGCTATGCAGGATAACTTTAACTGGCACAAGATCAGCAGTTAAATTCGGAAAGGACCTCTCGGAGCCCTTTAATACCGAACGAGGATTCAGACAAGGTGGCAGTTTGTCGTGTGACCTTTTTAACGTCCTGCTGGAAAAGGAAAAGGTCATACGAGACGCAAAGGTTAACAGGAATGGCACTCTGTACACCAAACAACACATGTTACTTGCCTGCACCCATGACATCGATATTATTGGTCGAACACTGAGAGCGGTAACAGACACCTTCGAACAAATGGAGAAGGAGCCTGACAAAGTGTTTATGACAGTAAATGGGGAGAAGACCAAGCTGATGGTATCAACGCGCAAGACGTCCAGTAGACTCGAACCAACTGTGGAACTTGAGAACTACAGCTTCGAGGTAGTCAACGATTTTATATACCTTGTTACCACCATAAATAAAATGAATGACATCAGTTTTGAAATTCGGAGAAGGATTGTGATGGCCATCAGATGATACATGGTCTGAGCAAACGACTCAAAAGTAAGGCCACCTCCCTGCAGACCAAACTCACAGTCTAAAAGACGCTGATACTACCCGTGCTGTTATATGGATCTGAAGCATGGGTGCTTGCACAAGCAGATGAGGTAGCTCTTGGAGTGTTTGACAGAAAAAATTCTCCGAAAGATCTATGGGCCAATCTACGTTGACGGTGATTATCGCCTTCGAATGAACCATGAGCTGTACCAGCTATTCTCGGACATCGACATTGTTAGACGTATTGAGCTCCAGTGACTACGTTGGCTAGGTCATGTTGCGAGAATGGATGAAGATGTCCCAGTCCAGAAGTCATATAAAAGCGAACCAAATGATGGTTCACGCAGAAGGGGAAGGCCACGAAGAAGATGGAAAAATCATGTGGAGGGCAACATTGCCGAATATGATCTTTCAAATTAGAAAAACTGCGCAAAAGACCGACGCGCCTTGAAATCTTTTTTAAGCTCGGCTTATGAAATGAAGATTCCTTCACAAGCCAGCTAAGTAAGTAAGTAACCCATTACCACGCTAGAGGGAGATCGATTTGAAATTTTTCATGAGGATCCATGTATGGTCAAGGACAACGCCTATAATTTTCGGTGATGATCTGATAACAATTTTGGGATGAAGTGGTCGAAAACTTATTTTTTTGTGTTCTTTTTCGAGCCGATCTGTAGGCCACAATTGAAAGCCGAACATCATAACAAATCACACGGTGAAGGGAATCTGGACCAGTAGTTAGAAGAGCTGTACTCAAATTTTAGTAACATTTGTTGACCTCTAATCGGTTAAGAGGGTGCAAATATCACAAAATATTGCCCAAGCTCAGAATATAGAACCACACAATATTGGATTTTCGTGGAAGTTGTGCAGGGTATCTTATGGTTGGCCGCGTCCGACTATACTGCTCCGCTCACTGCATTAAAAATATATTTTTCATAGACCGCTAATAAGAATATTAAGAAGCCGGGAGTTCTTTAAAAACTATTTTTTCTAATCAGTTTTGTAGTACAGTGTTTGTTATCACCAATATAGACGCATATGTAGTTCAAGGTGCTCTTATTTTATAAACATTTTATTTTGGACTTACCATCTCCAGTCTTATCACAATGATATACGATTGCGGACACGGAATAGCCACCATGACCATTTTAATGGAACCACACACATTCAGGGTTTTCTAAATTGGTTATGTCTATGTCCCTAATAACAATAGCCATCATCTTTGTTAACAACAACAACATCATATATACAATGGGTATTTTGGGACAAATTATCGCTACTGGACACTGACAAGTACTTGAGAAGTTTTTTTCAAATTAATATTGAATATGGTGATGAAAAAAAAACAATAATATTTAATAGAAGATAACTACTTGTATTAAATTGAAATTAAATTTTTAATGAGCAAAAAAATTGGGGGTAAATTAAAATTAAATGAATTCAAGTAGAAGAAATAAAAAGTGTATTATGCTCGGGCAAGTCGAATTTGCGATACCCTTCGCCAGTAGAAAATACGCCAAACAAAAATCTCAATGTCTCAAAATAACCAGATCGGTGACGGATTTTTCAGTAGAAAACACACCAAAGATCTGAGTGGTTGGAAATTACTGACCTATGGTCATTGGAATTTTTTCTATTGAAAAAATACGGATTTGTGGTTGTTGTTCCCTATTTTAAGTTCCATAAGAAATTCGCTGTCACTTTGACGTTAAACGTTTATCGAATAAACCCACATTTATTCGAATCTATCAATCCAGAAGGGGGGAAATATAACGACAATGGATAACCCAAACTATCCTACAAAACTGGACTCTAAGTTACGTACTGTACACACCTACAAATTTTCAAATCAGAAATATGTTATTCTGATTAGATTAAATATTTAAACAAAAATAACAAGAACAAAATCAAGGATGGGTGTCAATTTTATGTCATTGATAATCTCTGGCCATGCAGCTAATGTTGCTTTATGTATTTATTGTTTATCTTTAGGTCATAGACTTGATATTGACCGACAATTTTCCAACGTTTATCGATGATCATTTGGATTTTAGCCATTCGCGGTTAAGGTAGTCAGAACGAAGGAGAACCCAACTGAATCTATTTTTAACCGTCATGGCATTAACGTGGACTCTCTTCGTGGTTACTTTGGTATTTCTAAGTGGACAATCATGTGAGTAGAGGAACGATATAAGAATGGAATTGGAAATAAAAACAAATCATACAATTTTAGTGTGCGCCCCGCCATCGAATATCTTCGGAATTGGTAGGCTACAAGATCCCCGTATTATCAATGGAACCGAGGCCACCTTGGCAAATACAAAACATCAAGTTTCAATTAGACGTCGTATTAATGATGACTACTACTTTGGTATGGGTCACATTTGTGGTGGTTCCTTGATTTCCGAAAATGTTGTCCTGTGTGCCGGACATTGTTTCACAGAGTAAGTTTCGAATAAAAAAATGTGGATTTTTTTCTATAGAAAAAATCACTTGTTTGTGGAATATTTATCTATAGAAAGAAAGTCATCAACCTGGAGTCTGTGGAATTTTTTCTTTAGAAAATTGGATTTTTTTCTATAGAAAATTGGAATTTTTTCTATAGAAAAAATCACCGACCTGGGGACAGAGGATTTTTTTCTATAGAAAAAAATCGCCAACCTAGGGTCTATGGAATTTTTTCTATAGAAAAAATCATCGGCCTGGGGTCTGTGGAATTTTTGTCGCAGATGTATTTATCTATGTAAGAATATCAGAAGCGTGTTTTTCAGAACTTAATTTTTATACCATTCACCACACTGTGGTGCAGGGTATTATGTCTTTGTGCATATATTTGTAACAGGCAAAATGAAACGAGATAGACCCATGGTTCCTCTTGAATAAGAATAAGCATAGAATCACTTTTTAAGTCGATTTATGCATGTCCGTCCGACTGTCTGTCCATGTTAAATTCTCGCATTTTTGATTCGAGTTGGATGAAATTTGGCACAGCTCATTGATTTAGCCCAAGGACGAACCCCATTGAAATTGGGAAAATCGGTTCAGATTTAGATATAGCTCCCATACATATTTAATTAAAATGGTAAATGATTTAAGGTAAATGGTACCTATAAATCTTTCGATTTGCACGAAATTTGACATGGCATACTAAATTAAGTCTAGAATGATGCACATATATATTTTCGTCCGATTTAAGGTAAATGGTGCACCATAGTCCCTTTTATATCCTTCGATATGCACGAAATTTGGCATATCTTACTGAATTGAGTCCAGAAGTTGCGGGAAAATCGGTTCAGATTTCGATATAGCTCTCATATATATTTTCGTCCTATGTTACGTAAATTGTGCACCAAAGTTCCTATATATTCTTCGATTTGCACGAAATTTGCCATAGCGTACTGATGTGAATCTAGAATGACGTGTGGCAAGTTTCGGAAAAATAGGTTCAGATTTCGATATAGCTCCAGCATATATATATATATATAGATCCACGACTCTAAATCTATACGAATAAATTAAACTTATTATAGGACATGAGTATGTTCCTTCGAGGGAACATACTTATGTACAATATAGCCAAAGTGGTGAAGGGTATCACATAGTCGGCCCAGTCCGACTTTACTACTTTCTTTACCGGTTTTCTTATTATTTTTTATATTTTTAGTCAAGAAGCCTTCGATGGTAGCTATTTGCCTGATGATGAGTTCTTTGTGACCATGGGAAATTTGGATCGGTTTGAACAGAACAACAACACTTTAAAGTTCGATATTAAAAAAATCGAAAAACACAGACCAGTATTTAACTTCTCCACGTACGAAGATGATATTGTTGTGATCATATTGAATGGCACAGTTCCCGCTGACCATCCCACGGTGCAACCAATTGTACTCAACGATGGAGAATTGAAAAATGGTACTGTGTGTCAAGTTACTGGCTGGGGTATAACCGAAGAGGTATATACGAAAAAAATACCACAACAAAAATTTCCTATAATTATTCTTTATCTCATTTTAGGGCTACAATTCCGATGTCTTAATGACTGTCGATGTCCCATATATTCCACCAAATGTATGCCGCAAAGAATCGGCCTATTTGGATTTGATTAGACCCGGTATGATGTGTGCTGGTTATTTAGAAGGTGAACGTGATGCCTGTCAGGGTGATTCTGGTGGTCCATTGGTTTGTAATAATCGTCAGGCTGGTATTACATCTTGGGGTAGCGGATGTGCTCTACCATTGAAGCCTGGTGTCTATACCGATGTTGCCTTCTATAAGGATTGGATTTTACAAAAGATAGCAGAAAATAATGGCACATTGCCAAAATTCGCCGGTAACGGATCAATGTCGATAAATAATGGTTCGATGTTGTTGGCTGCTATTGTGGTGACACTTAATGTAATATTTAAAATGTTTTAAATAAAAAAGGTGGATTTAATATTTGGACCTAGATTTTTTTTTTAATTGGAGACAATTTTTCTATAGAAAAAGTTCTCAATAATGACAATTGGGAGACTCCTTCTATTGAAACAGTCCTCAACCTCAACCAAGACTTTAACTTTTTTCTAAAGAAAAAAAATTATCAATGACCCCAGGACTTTTTTCTATAGAAAAAATACTCAAAGATATCAGGACGTTGACTCTTTTTTATAGAAAAAGTTCTCAACAACCCCAGGACGTTGACTTTTTTCTATAGGAAAAATTCTTAACGACCCCAGAACTTGCCCCAACGAACCAAGTCGTTGGCTTTTCTTAAAGATCCCAGATCGTTGATTTTTATTTATTTTCCCTAGGGAAATTTATAAAATTTCCGCCCTGGGCCCATTGATTTTTTCAGTTGTAGAAGTGCTGAGGATCCCAAGTGGAAGATTTTTTCTATTCTCAAAGACCACAGTTGGTTATTTTTTCTATTGAAAATAAATCAATGGACCCAAAAGCTAAATATTTTTAATTTTTCTCAAGATCTGATAGTATATTGATATTTTCTTCTATAGAAAAAATTTCAGACCTGGGGTCTGTGGATTTGTTTCTATAGAAAGAAATATCAGACCAGGGGTCTGTAGACAAAAACGAAAGAAAAAAAATAAAATACCCTTGGTCTGATATTTTTTCTATATCCAAGGACCCTAAGTCTTTATTTTTTATATCGGATTAATTTAAAGCAGGCCTGTAATTATTCTAATCCCAAATTTGTCCTCCTGACTTTAGATTCTGGTTCATACTTTTGTGTCTATTCCCTATAATTTTGTCATGGAACTTTTATCAAATGAATCAACTTTTCCTAGAATTTATCAGCCCCGCAAAGTGGGAAATACGACGACAATGGGAAATCCAAACTACCTATGAAAAAATAATCAGGAAAACACCCCAGAGGCAATAAAAACAATACCCATCGAGATACCCCGAAAAACCAACAGAGCTAAGTTACGAACTACACATACCAAAAAGAATTTTCAAATCAGAAATGCGTTATTCCGATTAGATTAAATATTAAAAAAACCAAAAGACAACAACAAAATTATGGTAGGGTGTCAATTTCCCGTCACTGTTAATCTCCGATCGTGCATTTAATGTTACTTTTTTATTTTATTCTATGAAAACAATTTTAGGCAATAAATTATCACTTCTTTTAGGGGCTCAGAAAATGATATTGACCAACAATTGGCCAACGTTTATCGTCGATCATTCTGATTTTAGCCATTCACGGTTAAGGTAGTCAGAACGAAGAAGAACCCAAATATAATCTATTTTTGGACATCATGGCATTAACGTGGACTCTCTTCGTGGTTACTTTGGTTTTTCTGGTTGGAAATTCATGTGAGTAGACGAGATGTTGGAAGGAAATATGAAGGAAAATAACAAATCGTCACATTTCAGTATGTGCCCCGCCATCGGATATCTTCGGAATTGGTAGGCCACAAGATCCCCGTATTATCAATGGAACTGTGGCCACCTTGGCAAATACAAAACATCAAGTTTCTATTAGACGTCGTCTAAATGATGGTTACTTCTTTGGTACCGGACATATTTGTGGTGGTTCTTTGATTTCCGAAAATGTGGTGCTGTGTGCCGGACATTGTTTCACAGAGTAAGTTTTAAATCAAAACTTCGTGATATAAAAATATCAAAACTGGTTCTGTGAAATGTTTCTATAAAAAAATCAGACCATATGTATGTGAAATTTTTTAATAGAAAAAATCACCGAACTGGGATCTGTAGATTTTTTTTTTATAGAAAAAAGTCACCGAAATTTGTGGAATTTTTTTCTATAGAAAAAAAATCACCGACCTTGGGTCTGTGGAATTTTTTCTATAGAAAAAAATCACCGACCTTGGGTCTGTGGATTTTTTTTCTATAGAAAAAAGTCACCGACCTGGGGTCTGTGGATTTTTTTTCTATAGAAAAAAAATCACCGACCTTGGGTCTGTGGATTTTTTTCTATAGAAAAAAGTCACCGACCTGGGATCTGTGGAATTTTTTCTATAAAAAAAGTCACCGACCTGGGGTCTGTGGAATTTTTTCTATAGAAAAATGTCACCAACCTAGAGTCTGTGGAATTTTTTCTATAGAAAAATGTCACCGACCTGGGGTCTGTGGAATTTTTTTCTGTAGAACTTGGGGTCTGTGAAATTTTTTTCTATAGAAAAATGTCACCCCCAGGTCGGTGGAATTTTTTTATAGAAAAAAGTCCCCGACCTGTGATCTGTGGAATTTTTATAT